AAAACAATAGCAAATACAAGATAATTAGTTACAGAGAGCATTAATAAAGAAAAGGGGGTTCAGCCTTTGTCCCTCATAATATGGCAGGTGGATACACTTTTCTTTCTCTCCCAAAATATAACAGTTTGTCTATGTGGCTCGCTTGCCGGAATCCAGGCACAATTTAAGCTATTTGGGTAAAATAAGTGTCTGTGATGTGTTTATATTTGCTGCAGTGTGTGAGGAAGTGCAGCTCGTCCTCTACGAGTCCCTCTGTGCAGTAAGAACACAGTCGGTGCTCTCTCTCTCTCTCTCACACACACACACACACACACACACGCTCTCTCTCTCTCTCTCACACACACACACACGCTCTCTCTCTCTCTCTCACACACACACACACGCTCTCTCTCTCTCTCTCACACACACACACACGCTCTCTCTCTCTCTCTCACACACACACACACGCTCTCTCTCTCTCTCTCACACACACACACACGCTCTCTCTCTCTCTCTCACACACACACACACGCTCTCTCTCTCTCTCTCACACACACACACACGCTCTCTCTCTCTCTCTCACACACACACACACGCTCTCTCTCTCTCTCTCACACACACACACACGCTCTCTCTCTCTCTCTCACACACACACACACGCTCTCTCTCTCTCTCTCACACACACACACACGCTCTCTCTCTCTCTCTCACACACACACACACGCTCTCTCTCTCTCTCTCACACACACACACACGCTCTCTCTCTCTCTCTCACACACACACACACGCTCTCTCTCTCTCTCTCACACACACACACACGCTCTCTCTCTCTCTCTCACACACACACACACGCTCTCTCTCTCTCTCTCACACACACACACACGCTCTCTCTCTCTCTCTCACACACACACACACGCTCTCTCTCTCTCTCTCACACACACACACACGCTCTCTCTCTCTCTCTCACACACACACACACGCTCTCTCTCTCTCTCTCACACACACACACACGCTCTCTCTCTCTCTCTCACACACACACACACGCTCTCTCTCTCTCTCTCACACACACACACACGCTCTCTCTCTCTCTCTCACACACACACACACGCTCTCTCTCTCTCTCTCACACACACACACACGCTCTCTCTCTCTCTCTCACACACACACACACGCTCTCTCTCTCTCTCTCACACACACACACACGCTCTCTCTCTCTCTCTCACACACACACACACGCTCTCTCTCTCTCTCTCACACACACACACACGCTCTCTCTCTCTCTCTCACACACACACACACGCTCTCTCTCTCTCTCTCACACACACACACACGCTCTCTCTCTCTCTCTCACACACACACACACGCTCTCTCTCTCTCTCTCACACACACACACACGCTCTCTCTCTCTCTCTCACACACACACACACGCTCTCTCTCTCTCTCTCACACACACACACACGCTCTCTCTCTCTCTCTCACACACACACACACGCTCTCTCTCTCTCTCTCACACACACACACACGCTCTCTCTCTCTCTCTCACACACACACACACGCTCTCTCTCTCTCTCTCACACACACACACACGCTCTCTCTCTCTCTCTCACACACACACACACGCTCTCTCTCTCTCTCTCACACACACACACACGCTCTCTCTCTCTCTCTCACACACACACACACGCTCTCTCTCTCTCTCTCACACACACACACACGCTCTCTCTCTCTCTCTCACACACACACACACGCTCTCTCTCTCTCTCTCACACACACACACACGCTCTCTCTCTCTCTCTCACACACACACACACGCTCTCTCTCTCTCTCTCACACACACACACACGCTCTCTCTCTCTCTCTCACACACACACACACGCTCTCTCTCTCTCTCTCACACACACACACACGCTCTCTCTCTCTCTCTCACACACACACACACGCTCTCTCTCTCTCTCTCACACACACACACACGCTCTCTCTCTCTCTCTCACACACACACACACGCTCTCTCTCTCTCTCTCACACACACACACACGCTCTCTCTCTCTCTCTCACACACACACACACGCTCTCTCTCTCTCTCTCACACACACACACACGCTCTCTCTCTCTCTCTCACACACACACACACGCTCTCTCTCTCTCTCTCACACACACACACACGCTCTCTCTCTCTCTCTCACACACACACACACGCTCTCTCTCTCTCTCTCACACACACACACACGCTCTCTCTCTCTCTCTCACACACACACACACGCTCTCTCTCTCTCTCTCACACACACACACACGCTCTCTCTCTCTCTCTCACACACACACACACGCTCTCTCTCTCTCTCTCACACACACACACACGCTCTCTCTCTCTCTCTCACACACACACACACGCTCTCTCTCTCTCTCTCACACACACACACACGCTCTCTCTCTCTCTCTCACACACACACACACGCTCTCTCTCTCTCTCTCACACACACACACACGCTCTCTCTCTCTCTCTCACACACACACACACGCTCTCTCTCTCTCTCTCACACACACACACACGCTCTCTCTCTCTCTCTCACACACACACACACGCTCTCTCTCTCTCTCTCACACACACACACACGCTCTCTCTCTCTCTCTCACACACACACACACGCTCTCTCTCTCTCTCTCACACACACACACACGCTCTCTCTCTCTCTCTCACACACACACACACGCTCTCTCTCTCTCTCTCACACACACACACACGCTCTCTCTCTCTCTCTCACACACACACACACGCTCTCTCTCTCTCTCTCACACACACACACACGCTCTCTCTCTCTCTCTCACACACACACACACGCTCTCTCTCTCTCTCTCACACACACACACACGCTCTCTCTCTCTCTCTCACACACACACACACGCTCTCTCTCTCTCTCTCACACACACACACACGCTCTCTCTCTCTCTCTCACACACAC